CCATTGCTACTGGTATTGAAATTTTCTTCTTTGATATTTCCTATATGATTTGTGTTTTGGTAAAACGATGACGACCTGTTGAACAGTGTATTGAAGACTCCCAAATATGTGTGGATATTTGCGTACACCTAAAATAAACATATATCCTAAACTAGAATCATGCATACATACACATGTAAATATGTTTATACGCAAAAAAAAAAAACAATGGAAATGCTCAAAAATTAAAGCCTCCTAGCACACTCCGCAGGTTTGCAAATTCTATGTTTAGGAAAACGCTAACCGATACCGCGATTTGTTGCGTTTAGAAAGTTTTGGATTTCTTTCGCAGACTTTTACTATAAGAAAATTGCAAACAGCAATCAATACGACGAAAAGTTCAAATTTTTGCATGTAGCTTTTAAATAAAAACTATAGAGATTCCTTTTCGAATTACAATGAATATCGATTAGTCGAAGCTACCACAGTCGAGTTTCTTCGATTTTTTTGCGCCAGGTTCGATTAATCTACCGATGTAAAAAAATCGATATGCCTAATAATGTAACGATTCCACCATATAAAAATGCAGTTTTTATGACGTTCATGTTCATTATGGTTCAAAAGGTGTTTCCGAATGCGCTCAACGTTATTACATGTAGGGGATTCCCTTAAACTCGTAGTCTTAATGCCCTGTATGCAGCTCTCAAGAAAACGGTCAAGAAAAATTTGCCATCATTTCGTGTGTGTGTCCAAGGAATTTTGACATTTTTGATACTTCACAGCCTGTTGCCTCACTCTTTCCTCAAGAAATAATGGAACGGGCATATATTTCTGTTGCAAACTTGGGTTGCCTTGTGCTCTTTTTTCACAAAAATTTTTAGAAAACCATAGTAGAAAGCGTAGAAAATTCCTTAAGAACTGTGTACTGCCTTAAGGAAAGTTGACTCAAGAAAATTTCTTAGCCATTTCTTGTACGTCATTTTATATGGAGTTTTTGCTTTTATTGAGAGCTGCATACAGGCCTTAAACCGTGTAAAACTCGTAAGTTTACGAGGCTTTTATGGGAACGCCACCTTTGTGAAAAAGGGTAAATAGTTGCGTAGAAAGACTGCTTGACAGAGCACCCAAAATTTTGTGAAGCAATTTTTGTTTCGTAGTATTTTCCATAACATCCGGCCATCCTGTCTTTATCAATCTTGGCTAAAATACGTTTAAAAATGCTGAAAATTTGCAAAAAACCTAACTCAATACGGTCAGTGGACGAGATTCATTCCATTATACCCGAGCGCACTTGTGCACAAGGGTATATTAATTTTGTTCACATAACGGTTGTTTGTAACAGCCAAAACGAATCGAGATAGATATAGACAAATGTATACATAAATGATCAGGATGAAAAAAGAAATCGATTAAGCCATGTCTGTCTGTCCGTCCGTCTGTCCGTCTGTCTGTGTACACGATAACTCGAGCAAAAATTGAGATATCTCAACGAAATTTGGTATGTAGGTTTCCCTTAATCCAAGGTAGGTTGGTATTGAAAATGGGCGAAATCGGACTTTAACCACGCCCACTTCCCATATGACGGTAATTTCCAGAAATACGAAAACTGCAATATTTTAGTAACTACTGGAGATTATTCACTCAAGATTGGTATTTATAATAAGTTTTAGACGAAATATAAGAATATTATAAATTTTTGGAAAATAGGCGTAGCCACGCCCACTTATGGTTACATGTGTATATCTTGGTAACCGCTGCACCAAATTCTTCCAAACTTGGCACAGTTGTTGGCCTTCGCACAACATACCAAATGGCCGAAAATTTTTAAAATCGCTCAATAACCACGCCCACATCCCATATAACGGTAATTTAGAGAAATACAAAATCTTCGATAAATCAGTAAATATTGAAGCTAATTTATTCAAAATTGAAGCTTGCAACAATTCTTTACCAAGAAATACGTTTATGGTAAAATTTTGGAAAATGGGCGTTGCACCGCCCACTTATGATCACATAAAAGTATATCGGTAACCGTTCTACCAATTTGTACCAAGCTCGGTGTGGTTATTGTGCTTGCCACATATAAGCAACACGTTGAAAATTATTGAAATCGGACTCAAATAACGGCCGCTTCTCATATAACGGTAAATTTCAGAAATGCTTGAAACTTCAATATTTCGAAATTGAAGGACGCTAATTTACTCAAAATTGATACACCCCGGCTTACCATCTAGCGGAAGGTTTCGGAATGGTGAAAAAACATATATTTAATTCTTGCGCCGGGTATTTAATGTTCGGCTCCGCCCGAACTTAGACTTTCTTACTTGTTTTATTTTATATTTTAGTATACAAATTTCGGCCCCTCGGCAACACTGAAGTTTACGAGGGCGTTTTCGCATCGAATTTGCCTCGCAATTTTACGAGAGGCTCGTAAATAGTAGAGCTCCATACAAATTCGCTGGTTTGAAACGCAAGAATTTATATGCAACAAAATAAATGAGTCGATCAAACACACTTTCAAACTGCGTTCATGCCGATGTAAAGCTGAAGGTACATACTTTTATTTGATGCGGCATTGCGTAGATCCGTTTGTGCGCTGACGACGTTAAAAAATTTGCTGTTACACACCTTGCGTTTTGCCGCTCACTGTTTTTTAAACAAAAAACAGCTGCTAAGCATATCCACAAATTTAATTTGAAATGTCAACGCATGAACGCAACATAAAAGTAGCAAGTTGGTTTACTTTCGAAGGCAGCTGCGTTAACGCATTCGTAAAGGCGTCGTCTGTAACAGCTGTCATACAAACGCACGTGCTAAATTTTATTTGACATTGACAGCGTGACGCATTTGCCGGCGAACGCATGTAGTGTACCTTCGCTTTAACCCTGTTAATACGTGTGTCAATTCTCGATATTAATCAACATTCAAAAATAATAATTAAAGCTCAACCAGTCACGAACAAATGATCTTAGCTGTTAATTTTATAGTAAAGCTTAGCATAAATGTAATTTATAGAACTGTTTAAATATTTTACTTCATACAGAATAGCATGGAACAACCGTGTTGACGAACTCCCTATTTATATGCATGCTTAATACGATTCAACAACTCTGAACTCGCATACAAAATGCGATTTATGGTAGCACGGTTCAAAGTTGCAATTCCATTTAAGAATGTGTTTACATGTGCGTGTCCAAGTAGCATGGTTTAACTTAGCACGAATTAAAGCATCATATATTAGATATTATTAGATAAACGAGCAAGAATGATAGAATACAAGATTGCGCATTGCCGATGGCGATGTCATTTCTCAATTAAAAGTAGACAAAGCCGAATAGGAGGATAAAAGAAAATGTTAGATTAGTCAATTATCTTAATATTCCAGTTTTCGATAAGAAACGTGTTTTAATTGCTTTAAATTTTAAAAATATGATATCTATAAAAATAATTAATAAAGAAAATGTGAGAAAATGCGTTGTTTACTATAAATTGAGAACG